GAAGCCATATAAAACATGACTCAAAATAATTTAAAGAAACATGTTGCGGACCCGCCGAACCAAAAAACAGCAAGCAAAAGTGTGAATCCTGAAAATATGAAAATTTGCAAAGGACTGCCATCAATTTCACCAGATACTAACACAATTATTTATGTTTTACTCATTGCGTGTGTCCATGCCTAGAGTGAGGACATTACGGTCTGACACAAACCAAATGTCAGTTGCACATTGATGCGGTACACAACAGTGTGGGCAAACAATTCTCTTGGCAAAATGGAAAGGATATAGCCCCATGGGCGGCCTTCAAAGGCTTCTGTGTGAGTTATTGGCAGAGGGTTATCAGCCCCGGGAGAGGAGTCGGTAATGGTCCACAAAATGACCGGATTCATCTTCATCAGCCCATGGTTACAAATGCCTGCCAGAGAAAGACAAGCCTCTCGCATGACAATGCTACTCCGTGGCAGGTATAAAGCAACAGGAAGATCTCTCATAAAAAAAAATCGTGTCCCGTCTGCATTGTTTCTTCACTTAGGTTAATAGCATTTGAGAGGAGTCACTTTGCATATAAGTTCCTTAATGGTCTCAAATGTCATAATGAACATTTCACGAAACTACTTGAATGTGGCATTTGAATACGGTCCACTTGGCGAAGAAGTGTAACGAGCTTCAAGAGCAACGCAATGGAAAAAAGTTTATTTTGGTTTTTAAATTGAGCTCGGTGTGGAAAACCAGACAATTAAATCATCTAAAACGTGTTTCCTCTATTAGCTGAGTGGTCACTGATGCTGCTGTGATGTATTGAACACATGGCACAAACAATGCGCGGTAACCGTGCAAATATGCGCCGTGGTGGCGAAATGTTAACTACCTCGTCTTTTATACATGTAGTGCTCGACTTGACACGACAGCTTCTTGCTTTTCTCTCTCACTTTATTTCGCTTATACCGATCAACATTCCTCCAGCTAACACCAATCAACATTCCTCCTCCGCGCTGTCCGCTCGCTCGCCGCGTTCCGCTGGCCTCGCTCGCTCCGCGTCTTTCCTCCATCGACTCTCCTCTCCACTCTCCCCGTCACAATTCAGCCGCTCTTTATCGGCTCCACCGTCACACTCAGCCGTATCTCTATCAGCTTCTCCTCCCACACTCCAGCCGCTTCCTACTGGCTTCGTCGTCACACTCCAGCCGCTTCTGCTGGCATCTCAGTTGCTACCTTATACCTTACCACGGCTACCCGATACTTTTCCACTGCTACCCTACACTTCTCCACTGCTACCCTACACTTCTCCACTGCTACTAGCTCCACTGCTTCAACTCCAACCTCCTCCGTCTCCTCCCAGGCGTGAACTCCCGTCTGCTCCAAACCCCCTCTCTTTATCCCCCAGCCAATTAATCTTCAATTAATCTGAGGCATCCCCCGCCACGCCACTCGCCCCCAGCCCCCGCTGGCACCTTCCATGTTTTTCCAGACAATGCGGCGCCACTTAGCGACAGCAACAACTTCTCGGCCAATCAGCGCCCTGCGTCCTTAATCACCCCTTACCACCTGCTACTGTCCTCAGACAGCGCGGCACCACCTTTGGACAACAACTCCCAGCTAATCAGTGCCCTGTGTCCTTAGTTGCCCCCTACCCGTATCTGACCTTCCCCCTACACCTAACGACAACAACACCCTCGACCTCCTTTGCTCCCATTGTACTCTGAGCGCGCGTACATCCACTCTCGAGTGTGGCGCGTATTTTCAGGCACTGCATCCATAAGGACGTGGGTTAAATCCCGACCCTGACGCCTGTATATTTGGAGTTTGCATGTTCTCTCTCCTCATGGTCAAGTGGATTTTCCTCCAGGTCCTCTGGTTTTTCCCTCCACATTTAAAATCAACATGCGTTTAGGGTATTTGGCTGCTATAAAAATCCACGTGAGAAGCCATTTCGTCATTCGTGGCCAAGTCGCTTCTGAAAAAGAGCTATACAGCATAGTGGGCCTTACTTGGTAAAATAAAAAAAAATAGTAGTAAGTCGTTTAATTTAGTACACTGGCCTTGCAATTCAGAAGATGGCAGCCAGCTCAAATTGTATCTATAGCATGGCATTTGAAACAGAGGGCAGGTTTATTAAATCCAACTGTGGATACATCACAGTTGATCAGCAGGTAGCATGTAGTGGGGTAAGGCATGGGTACTCGACCCTCTTCCAAGGTATCTGACCAAATACACGAGTATGTGGCTTATATATCTGGTCAAAGTATAGAGGCGCTCTAATGAGCCGTTTCTAACAGAGGCCCTTCTGCCAGCGATGGCATGAGCAAATAATACACCTTCACCTTAGCTGTCACTGTTAAATTTAGATAAAGCTTCGATAGTATTTAACAATTATTGGCTGGTCTATCATATGACAGTGAATAAAAACAGTGTCAAATATTAGATGTTCTTAAATGTATGCTTGAAATTACACTAAGAGAGAGGAAATCGAGTACATGGATGAGAGAACGTACCCCAAATGAGATACATTGTTTAACATGTAGGCTTTCGCGACCAATATTATCCATAATAGAGGTTGTTTGGGTTAGATCGCATAAATATAAATGTATCATCAAACCCGCCACCACCCGACACAGCCAATTAGTAAGGTTTATCACGTAAACAGAACAGGCTGAGTTATTACCAGTACAGCTCACCGGTGTGTTGGAGAGCCTAGCCATAACATTTACAATTAGAGTACGACGTTTCGGCAGTAATTACAACTGGTATCATCAGGCGACAGCCAGATTTGGATTTATTCTCCAACATACTAGTAAGGAATTGGCATGTTTTGTTTACGTGACAAACCTTACTAATTGGCTGTGTCTGGTGGTGGTGGGTTTAACAACACATTTATATTTACGGGATCTAACCAAAAAAAACTCTCTATCATGGAGATACATTGTATTGATTGATCGTTAAGAAAAGTAAGTGGACTTGGGCAGGACATATTTAGAGATGGGATGATAGCCAACGGTCAAAAATGGCCATTAAATGGCAGTCAAACGAGAGTATACAGCTGAGATGATTACCATCCTTAAGATGAAGCCATGAGATTGGCTTATGTGCAGATGCTGAATAAACGGTGGCATCACGAGACCACGGGGGATGGCGACAATCTGGTGTGGTCTTCATGATGGATACATCATGGCTTATACCAATGATGACGAATGAAACATGGTTTCACAACACTATTAAACAATGAACGTCAGGTCAATTTGGGACAGAAACCCCAAAGGCTTTCCTGATATCGCCTCGGCAAAGCCTGGATCGTTTTCTTAATGAAATAGCAAATCCGCGTTTTCAACAATGCTGCTTAACGCACAGGTTCACTACTACCCACACTGTGCCTCTCATAAATACCGCCCTAAACCTAAACCACTGTACCTTCTATCTTCTATTCTGGGCCACATTAATGAGTCCTGTTCTTACACAGTCACTTTAAGTGTGAACTGCTTTGCCATACGTCTCTGCGTATGGTTGCGAGTGTAGTGAGTTCTTATGGAGACGGAGACGTTGTCGTAGAGGCAACACTAACATACAACTCCCTTAACATCCCCTATCTAGGGAGGTACAGCCTCCGGGCTAACGTGACTTATAATTGGCAACTCAACTCTCAGCCCTCCGGCTATTGGTGCCCTAGGGGAGGCTATGCTGGCCCGACCCAGCCAAGGTACGGGTCTCGACCAGTGGTCCCAGCTCGCCCCGGCCCTTACAAGGGCAGCAGGCTCGAGGTCCCAGGGTCCTAGTCTAGCTTGTCTTCAGTTTTCGTAGCACTGCCCCGAGCTGCGCTTGGGATGCCCCTTTTATAGACCTCCAGGGGACCCTCCGCCCCTGGTACCGCCCCCTTTCTGGACCTACAGGGGACCCTCCGCCCCTGGTACCGCCCCCTTTCTGGAACCTTCCAGAAGATCCTGGAAGGGCCCCTCCCCAGCCCCCACCTGGGGTAGGGGAGGGGAACCCCGCCTCCCGAGGGTGCGGCTCTCTCTCTCTATCCCCTTGTCCAGGCTAGCACACCCTACCGACCGCTGGCTGCAACTGCAGGTAAGTGGATACAGGCGAACGGCAGGTAAGTGGATACAGGCGAACGGCAGGTAAGTGGATACAGGCGGTGTGTGCATACGCGTTTCCGACGCTACACGAGGATAAACATTTGATTGTATCAAGTTCCAAGTTTTATTTTGTTTAACCAATTGCAAGTGACTTGAGGCATTCGTCTGTTTTTCATAATAGCCCCAATTGAGTCATTTGACATTTTCAAATATGGCAAATTTGGATCTCGACGCCAGCACACAATGGTCGAATCTTGCGAATGACACCAGGGCATCTCACGTCCACAGAATGTAATCTCAATTACACCCAGAGACATCATGAGAGCAGCCCTGGATTTGGACCGTGAAACTCGCAACAAGCAGCGAATGCGCTACCACCGGCGGCAGCTGTCGAGGAGTTGTTCTGTCGAGCTCTCCGATGTGTGTTTGGGTTGTACAGCGTGTTGTTTGGCATCGTGTCCGACGTTTCAATCCATGTGCTGGGAACTTTTTCAGGATCTGAATTCCTGATTTGACTGAATTCTTGAAGAAGCTGTCGCCACTTGGTGCCAAACGTCGGACTTCATATTGAATAACATGAGGTACAACCCGATGTATGCATAGTCATGAGGTAAACGATTATGTATTAGCTACACAGCATATTTTGTAAAATATATCAGCTATGTAATTAGCACCGGAAGATTGCATTTTGAAAATTCATTTCTTGTTTGAACTTCATTTTTCTTCATCTTTTTGGCAGATAACAGAACTGAAAAGCGCACCAATATTTTCAACTGGCCGTTGTTCGAGAAAAACATTTTCAAAAACCGACACATTGTAAACAACGTTGAGGGATGTTATCTATGGTATGTAAAGGTTGAGAACAAAAGCTCAGAGGTTAAGAATGTTAATCCCATAGATCTCTTTACCCAGTGTATAAAAAGCACAAAATTCAAAGAGGTATACGACCACTGGGTGTCGATTCCCTACTTAAACTTTTCCAAACCAGTTTAAAGCAACAGATGAGCTTGAGAGTCTACACATGCACACTTCCCTCTGGGATACATTTATAAATTCTGTGCATATTGACAGATTTCAATCGAAAAAATGCGGTCTCTGTTGAGCCTGCTGCTCCTGCTAGCAGTTTGTTCCTGTGCAGTTAATGCACTAAAAATATGTTCTTTCAACGTACAATCGTTTGGAGAAACGAAGGCTGCTAAAGGACATGTCATGGCTATCATTGCCAAGGTGTGCAGTGCAGGACTGTATTAAAGCAGTCGTACACATTGCAGCAATACAAACACACACGTGTCAATGCTTAACATGTGTCTTTATTGCACTCAGATTACTTCTCGATGTGACATCATGCTCGTGATGGAAGTGAAAGATTCCACCGGATCATCATTAGTGTCGCTGGTAAATGAACTTAACAGGTACGTTTAAGAGACACTATTTGTGACTGTACTAATTGAATTAGCGATATGTGCTTTATATATTAATTATTTAATGTAACAATTCAAGGTTAAAATTATCTTTCTCAATCAAAATGTTACGAGCTCTCCGATGCGTTTGTTGGTTGCAGCACGCAGTGCTGCTCAAACCACATCAGTGCGATACTGCAAAATGCTTTAAAAAATCCATTGCAAAAATGCATTTCTTACAAATGTCATGTGAGGTGATACATACACTATTTAGCTACATTGTTCTTAAATCTCAATAGAAATGTATTACTTTGCCAAGTTACCTTGCTACGAAAGGACCAAGTAATATATTTTTCAGAAACTAGTACTTACTTTGAATAAAGAACGCACCCACCCATGTGAGAAGAACTGCGTAATATTATTCACATACAAGCAGGTTCCCGAGCAGGTATTGACAGCAAACCTCTACTGCGTACTGCATTTCAATGTTAGCTGTGGTTGCAGCAAAGCACAAATCTCATCACCGAGTATTTTTCTTATTTGCACTTTTGGCCATTGTATATCATACACATTTGAACGAAAACAAATTACTGTACATTTTGCAGTGTATATGTGATTTAAAATAACATTGTCCTACATTATTTGTATAACCCTTGTGGCCACAATTAGATGGTTATTAAAATGAATAGCATTGTTTCCATCTAGAACTGTCATTTGGAAAAAAAACGCGTTGTTATTTGTACATTCAAAATGGCACAAAAGGCGTGTTTTTAACACATTTCCACTGTTTCTGAAACCCACTTGCGTGCTTTTAAAACGTTGCATGTATGTCTTAATAACGTCGGTGCAAAGTAATATATTTTCCATCCAGATTGCCTACAATTTCTTTATGCATGGAAATATCAGTGATAATGTATGCCTCAGAATTCAATGGCATTTAGCCCAAGTAATGCTTTTCATAACCTTTAATATTTTGCACAATAAAATGTGAAGCTTACGAAGAGGTGTGTGGTAGCAGGTGTAAATGTTTTTTTTTACTTCATCTTCGGTTAATTTGATTTTACTTCTTAGATGTCTTCGTGTTGTTCTTCCATCATAATACCAACTATATTTTCTGCACAGGACAATCTTGCACATTTCTTCATAGTCTTTACAAATTTGAGAATTTAAAGCACTGGTATGATTACAACTTCGCAATTGGTGTGTTTTCTTAATATTAGGATAATGCAGGAACATACAAAAAATTCGTGAAACAAGTATAAATCATGTTTTACAGTTTAATTAATAACTTACAGAAATGGATCGTTTAAAATATTGCATAGTATACAACTATAATGGGCATCCGCAAACTGAAATCTCCACTAACCCATCACACCCATACTATTCATATTCACCTATCTTGTCTTTTCAAATTCCGTTGAAGTCATTAAATACTGCATTCACCAAACCATATGGAATAAAGGAAATCTGGTACACTAATAAAAAAAAACTAGTGTACCAACCTTTTTTTATATTTCGACCGATTTGTGTTGCTGTTTTGCAACGCTTGTTATTTCCTATACTCCCCAGAGGAGATAGACGAAAGCCTTACACCTACATCATCAGCGATCGCTTGGGAAGAAAGTCCTACAAGGAGCAGTACGCCTTTATCTACAGGTACCCTCCTTGCGCTTGGTGCACAGACATCTTTCCACAAATTTATGGACGGAAAATGGCTGGTGCATATTTCGTTCATGACAAATATAGAACACATTTGCATTTTAAGTAGTAATGATAATATGAAGCCCTCCAGATAGGTAAATCATTTTCTCCAACATTTTTAGTTTGACAAGAAATTGCACGGAAGAAAAATGTAATTCTATGCACGTGCTAATTTGGTATGTGCACAATTGCATGCGGTGTCATTTCAGCCAATGCAATGACATGAGGACAATTGCTTTATTTACTGAGAGCACATTGCTTTTCAAGTGCGAATGAGATAAAAGAACAAAGAATAGAAAACCATTGGCAAAATGTGTTTTTCTATTGCCAAAATAATAAAATGAATTATATTATGCCAACATGGGTGAAAATTAAGACTGTCTTCAATGTTGGCATTAAATATGAATTTAAATTTCTGCCTAAATATGCGTGACAACATGTCTATTGGAAGGAATAATATGCATGATAAACATTGTTCGTTGTAAGGTAATTGTGCCTTTTTCTTTTTTTAGACACACCATGGTGAGTGTGTTGGACAGATACCAGTATATGGATGAGCAGGTCGGAGATGTGGATGCCTTTTCCAGAGAGCCATTTGTTGTCAAATTCAGCTCACCCACGACAGGTTCGTATTAAAGATTCACAAAAAAAGCTTTTCTGTTCTATTGAGGCCATGCGACGATTCACCGATCACCTCACCCCCTTACACCCTCACCGCCCTCCCACCTCCACCCCACACCGACCGCCCACAACAATTTGATGAACCGAGGTTACAATTAAATTATCACGTCTTTTCAAAATAATTTTACCATTTTATGTGCGTTGTTTATTGTTTATACGGACATTTGCTCCATAAGCTCAAATGTAACACGAGAACATCATTTGAGATGTACTGCATATGAGGCACGGTATACGTTGAATATAAAACAGCTGTGAGGAAGATGTGTATATAATGTAATAAAAATTACATTCTTCAATAAGTGTCCTTAAAAGGAAAAATGAGGCGACGTTTCAGGCAATGGCCCTTCGTCATTGCACGTGCTATAGCACTTGATGTAGTGTGTTATTGACGAACATGTTGAGTTTTGTTTTTGTTACTCGTGCACCACTGGCAATGCAATATCACCACATAATTTGCGTAAATTGTTCATAGAAATTATCAATTGTCTCATGATGCACGATTCAATGCATGTATCATTGATTTTCATCAATAAATGGTTACGTGCCTAATATTTAGACATTTGGGTATAAATTTAAGGATTGCAAATTTCATCCCACCAAACGACAGGCCTACTATTTTCTTCATCACCTGTTTGCAGTGAGGGTTTAATTGTTCCGTAAACTTCCTAAATAATATTTTTAAAATAACTGAAATATTTTAGATTTTTTTTCCTTCCTCAGCAAAGTCTACTTCCTTTGGCCATTGTGTTTCTTTGTACCATGCAGATATTAAAGAGTTCATATTGATCCCACAACACACGACCCCTGAGGCCTCCGTAAAGGAATTGGATGAACTTTACGATGTTTACATGGATGTTAAGAACCGCTGGAAAACAGAGGTAAAGAAAATTATACTTTATAATTTGTGGAAGACAGATTCGGGTCAAGCGAGTGCAGTGTATGTCCAGGACCCCTAAAATGCCGTCACGGTCAATACATGTGCCTTTTGGAGGCAGGCCAACACCAATAATGGTGCTGGCAGCTTGGCAACGTCCCCGTTCAATGGTGTCAAAGCACGCGACGAGAAATTATGGGCCAGCAGTTGTGAGCACTGTTGCTACAGCGGTTACAAAAAGCTACTACACTCGACGAAATATGCCCACTACCCATCATTAAATTTAACAAAATGCATTAACTTGCTTATGTCAAACAAAATACAAATTTACGGCCAGTAACTTGTGCAATTGTTTTTCCACAGAACATGATATTTCTGGGAGATTTTAATGCTGGCTGCACGTATGTGACACGGAAGAAGTGGAGTCAAATTCGAATTAGGATGGAGGAAGGCTTCCACTGGCTGATTGGTGACGAAATAGACACCACAGTCAACGCGAACACCAGATGCGCGTATGACAGGTGAGCAATTACAAGCACCACGGTACATGGTGTGCCAGATTACTTACTTGTCACAATCCATGGCAATCGAACCCACACTGCAAAATGAGGATTTAATCCATATTTTTTATCTTTCATTAAACATTTCATTTCATGGGCAGAACGTGCAAAAATACACTCAAATGCACTGCAAATGGCAATATGCAGGCGCTCACACAAAACAATCACTACATATTTAGTTTTTGTTTATGCAATTACAGGACATTTGTTTAATTCCAGGTTTAAGACATTCCTGTTTTTACTCTCCATTGTAAGACCCCTCCTCCTACCCCACTTCCCAACCTCTGCCCTTGAAATGGTCAACCCTCCCCAAACAACATTTGGAGATGTCGTTACAAATATGTTGCTTCCAAATCCAAAAACTATTGCTGCTACATTGTTAGAAAAAAATAGTTTGGTAGAGACAAAATTTGAGTTTGCTCAAAGTAAAAAAAGATATTTATTAGTCTGTGTGGTTTAAAACAAACACATGAATTGTCAATATTTCAAAATGCATTTAGCATACGGTCTTCATGTTGTAAAAGTGAGTGGTTGTAAAACGACTTTTGATACACGGTTTTTGTGTTTTAGAAACTGGTGACCAAACTTGATTTTACTAATTTAAAACGCTGTATATTACGAAATATACTCTGGTTTTACTACAACACTGGTTTTCATAACGCAGATCAACATTAAAATGTGAAATTGTGGCAATGCTTTCGTGATTGCAGGAATTCCTATTATTTGGGTCGTTCGTTAAAGTCAAGTAGAACAAAAAAAATTAACAAAAAACTACGACGTTTTGATCGCAACACAAGCAATCGTCATCGGGGAGGAAAAAAGGATAGGGGGAAGCTGCTGTGGCAGGCTGTTTTAAAGGTTTCTCACTTTAACGTCGCTAGCCCCACCCACTTCGTTGATGACCCCTGGGCTACACCCATTTCAAACCTTTAAAACAGCCTGCCTCAGCAGCTTTCTCCCTCCTTTTTTCCTTCTGATGATGCCTACATTAACATGCTAATCTCTCACATTACAATAGCCACCTACGCACCCTTGCCGTGGAAGTCGCCCTCCGATCGTACATTGACATGCAAATTTCTCACTTTAACATCACTAGCCCTGCCCACTTCGTTTATGACCGCTGGGCTACACCCATTTCAAACCTTTAAAACAGCCTCTCTCAGCAGCTTTTTCCCTCCTTTTTTCCTCCTGATGACGATTGCTTGTGTTGCGATCGACACGTCGTAGTTTTTTGTTATTTTTTTGTTCTACGTGACTTTACCGAAAGACCCAAAGAATATGCTATAAAACACACAGACACTGTTAAATATAGAACAAAATAAGTGATGCTTGTTTAGACAAATGCGTATAAAAGCATGGAATACTTTTTCACATTTCTTGTACACAAAGTAGCGTTTCAGGCAGATGTCACACTGGATGTCTAATTAAAATGGGAATGATGTCCCTCTTAAAGGAAGAACACTTAAACCTTTTACATGTTGGTTCTTGTTCTCCACCTTGAACACAAGATTGAACAAATGGCCGTTGGTGCTATCACGGGGCAATGGCGCATAATATACGAACGCAAACTTTCCGCTCTGCGAATATCGTGTTCCCCGTGTGCACGGGTGGAGAACGAATGCGATATTAATCGGGTATTTTGGGCATTCATCATATGGTCACAAGATATTATATTACCGTGCAGCTTGCTTGTGCACATTAATGTAGTCAGCCGCAAACATTACATCTTACATTTATTTTATCCAAGATGCAAAAATATCTATTTTTTCAAGGTAGAGGTGCAGCCCCACAATTTCTTGCTCTCACCACTGCTGGAATAAAATACCTCCACTAGAGGGAGATGTAGAGATCCCCTCTGGAGGGTAATTGGCCTACTCTTCCATGCTGTCCACACCTCTAGGAAGTTGTGGGAGTACCCACACTTTACCCAACAAAATTCTCCCTACTAAGATGTACTGGACTTTAAATGATATCTCTAAGGGGTAAACGTAGAAAAAAAAAATATACCACTACATCAAAGCATTCACTAGCTTGAATTAAAGCATATTTAAATGTGTTTCACAATCACCGTGCTCACAACATACTTAATACCATAAATAAATCACATCTTCAGTTTCCTTCATATTTATAAATTACTTACAGCACCATGACATGTTTAAAAAAAAACTGTGTGGCTTCTTTTAAACGATACTAACATTTACGCTGCACTTTTCATCCTGCCAAAGTGTATTGAATTACACGTGTTACGGCTTTATATGTCCATCGGGAAATTCAGCGTAACCAATGCACTCAATTAAAACTTGTACGCTGGGCAGAATCGTGGTTAAAGGTGAACCACTCTACAAAGCAGTTGTGCCCGGGTCGGCTAAGCCCTTCAACTTCCAAGCAGCGTATGGACTTTCTGAGACAGAGGTAAAATACTGATGCATCACAAAAGCCATCCACTTCTAAATATATATTACACAAAACATCTGCACAATGACGAGACCGAAGACAAGAATATCAATGCCCTGCACTCTCCTCGCCGCAATGTGCTACTCAGTTATTTGCAGTTTTTTTAACTGGCCAAGTGGCTCAACCGTAGAGCGAAAGGCTCGCGATTTGCGAGTTCATATCCCTGTTTGGGGGTTGACTCAGCCCATCATACCTCTTGAGGTCGATCAAATAAGTACCACTTTGTGAGGAAATCAACAATGGTTGTCCTCTGGATAGACTCACCTACCCGCCGCAGGCATGTTTTCAGTTTTTTCAGTTGCATTTATTAGGTTTAACCCTGTGAGCCATGCGGCTCTTGACTCGGGTGCAACCGCAACAAAATGTGTAACTTCCACCACTGTTTCATCGCTGGCTCAGGGCTGTGAACTGCGAACTGTGACCAAAACATCACTTTGCAAGTCTGACATTTGTTGAAAGTTGAATATAACCATTCAAATTATTGAAAGAGTGAAAAAAGGTTGCACAAGATGTGAAAAATCATGGGCGTGTCTCACCATTACAAGCCTGACTGATCAGCAATCTGTGTGACAAAGTGCTTATTTGTATTGCGTTACTCATTTCCACATCTCCTTGCACCAAGAGGCATGACCTCAGATAGCACACAAAACGCACCACCTTTTATCGACATATCAGTGCATACATGGCGAAGGGCTTGTATAGTTCAGTAGTGATAGGCAAGTCACCTTGGGAGCTCTTGACAATGATATGTGCACCTTGTCTGATGTAAATATATTAAACGTGGAAATGTTTGAATAACCAAAATGGCGTCAAATTGATGATATTTCCCCTTCACATAAATGTGTATTAAATTTGAACAAAGTTGGAAAACTAAGGTGAGCAAACAAACGCATGCGTGTGGCTGCACTAAGATGCAGAACAAAGCACTGCACCCATTGAAGTAAAGCTAAGTGACAAATTGAGACTGCTCAGACCCATTCATCGTTACATCTCTGCCTTTTTCCCAAAAAGGACATACGTAAAGAGATCACTGATACATCTGATAAACTACTCATAGAAAGGATATGTTAATAGAACGTGATTTTTTTTTAAATACACGCAATCTAACGTGCAATTGACTTCATGCCACTGCCGTACAGCAGCCATCCATGACAGGTGGTAGATTAGCAGCAATCACATGTTTGCACACAGTAAATAATTAGCCCACATAGAGCAGTGGTCTGAACCCGAGAGAAAATCTATTTGCGAAGCCATTATCATCCAGACGGGTGTGCAGAGAAAGGTCCAGCATCTCATAAGCCTGCCAACATTTTTAAACTGCACCATGGTCGCTTAATTACATTCCAAACACCGTGGCATATGACTGCATAACACGACTGAATCATTATCGCACACAAACAGAAACACATTACTCTCTTCTCGTGATTAACTGTAACAAACTGTTTTGCTTTCAGGCATTGGAAGTCAGCGACCACTTTCCGATAGAAGTGGAAATAAAGTAAAATTGAGTTGCTTACATTCAGAGTGAAAGAATAAAAAAACGATATTCACATCATAAAACATCACCACAGGACAACTTCAATGGCTACTTTTAGAATGTCACACGCTTAAAGTAAGCTACCCTACCACTGAATAAATGACCTTTTCAGAGCAGCTTGATACAAAAGACAGTAACACCGAAATTGGTGGTGGTTTAGGAGCCATTTTAAAGCACGTAAACGTCCACAAACCCAAGGAAACCATGGAGTGCATTTCCATCGCGGGAAATGCCGCCTATAAAGGTTGCATGGCAATCACATTGCTACAAACAAGAATCTGCTTGCAGATGCACTAGTCTTTGTTTAATGGGTTACGGTCAGTTTATCAGCATTTTACTTTCTTTGCTTCAGACATGATTGAGTGCTGCACACTTGAATCTTCACAATGTTGCCATATTTATGCCAAGATTTCCCATGTCTGTTGCAAATGGTCATGTGCTACTACAGTTTATCCTAACATTAAAAAAGGATAATTATTTTTCCTTGTCGAGCGTCCCAAATAGAGTATAACTTAGCGTGAAATCGATCTCGAGTGGGTTAACCGTTTGTCCAAAATTCTCCGTGCATCTGTGATGCCGAAAATCAATTGATGCTATCACACACGTGACCATGCGTTGATAAGAAGAGCAATGGGACACTACCAGTCGGCTGTTGCATGGATTTATACCTAGATAGCTTTATCAAGCTGCTCTGGACAAGAACAACCAAGCCAAAAAAATGGCGGGGGGGGATATTTTCCCAGCAATGGGAAAGTTACAGGCAGACAACATAATTTTTATGATCTCAATCTCATTCATATCCCAATCATGTCCGGGATTTTTTCTCCTTAAAGTGGGATCACATTATTCATTTATATATCACAAAAACATCCACTGTTGATCTTTTTGTAAAGTTACTCAAATATGCATTTGTGACAACTGCTCAGAATTGAAACGATTAAAACATGTCGGCCGAAAATAAAAAATAAAAATCTATAAAACTTTTGTCGTTTTTATAATTTTTCATTTCGCTTTTTGACAAACATATACACGACATCCTATACATTGTGTGAATATCATAGGTCAGCAGTGTCATGTGCATTTACTCTCAAAAATGTTCCCTATGCACATCAAATTTAATTAATCTTTTTATAAAGCTCTAACAAGGAAGGGAGCTGGGTGGCACCACTGAGATCCTGTATTTCAGATCGGGGTTTCAGCTACCTGTGATTAAACCGGGTTCTCAAGTGTAGCGAGTTGACGGTTGTTAGCCTGGTCACTAATGACCACACACACAAAAACACCACTTAAAATGTGGCACTTAAATTTAGCTAAATTCCCACTATGAACAGTAAACACATCGGTTTGAATATCATAGGACAGCATGTGAAAAAGTGCACTCCCTCCTGTGTATAAGATAAAAAAAGGTAATTAGAAATATTTTTTTCTCATGAAATATCTCTGCAGACCATATTGCAACAACATAAGACTCACTAATCGGTGAGATTTTCGAATGGATTCAGCTTCACATGGCATGATGCCGATAGCATAATTGGAATACAGTTTTAAAAAATGTACCTTAAAAAACCCTATGAGTTCACAGCTCAACATGAAGACATCATCTCCTTACAGAAATCTAAAGAAATGATTTGATGTGGCTAAGGAAAACAAACTGAATACATCTTCTTGGTTCTTTCGGTAAAGTCACGAAAGAACCAAGAAGATGAATCCCTGCAGTCACGAAAGCTTTGAATCGAAACTTAAGACAACAATGTTCACTTGGCTAACAAGAGAGCCACCTAGTGGCGATGGACAAATTGTATCTCAATACATGTATCTCAATACAATTTGGCTTCTAAATATAGCATCTAAGGTGGTATTGAGCTATGGTATGAGCAGCAACAAATTACGATAAGGCCACATAATGTACAGAATTTTGTAAGCGGCACTACAAATATAGCTGTATATTGTTGATCCAACATCAATATGTTTTTTTTTTAAACAAAACATTACAAAATTATTAATTATGTGTATACCAATACAGAACAAAACATTAAACAAATCTGATGAATATACAATTATAGTGCACTTTATCTTCTCTACCAAACAATGGACAGAGTTTATAAAAAAACAATCTCGTTCAGATGTAATTAAGTATTTTTAACTAGCCTCCTGAATAATATAAACCTGAAAAAGAAAGTGTGTAAACACTCCTGGGGAAGAGAGCTTGTCTTTCCGTTGAAGCATTAATCACCCTTTTCTGTTGTTTATGAGGCAATTACGATTATCTTGTATTAGGAAAGAAAAACCCATGTTAAGTACCCCATGGTAAACAATGATTTGAGAGCTTAATGTGCTCTTGATGTCAGTGATGTATCAAGCTCCACATATAATACACTTTGCATCAACGTGTGCGCAATTCAGAACCACTATAGGTTAAGTGCAACCCTCATTCAAGCATATGCAGCCAAAATAAAGGGCCTTAATTACGTGCAGAAAATGTGGGCCAAATGCATTCAAAACTGGAATGGGCAAAATTAAACTTAGCACGTTTAAACATATGCAATGTATAAATCAGAAGCCTGTCTCATCTAATTTCCACACGCAAGCCACACATTTTTATGCAAAATACAAATAACGGCTTAATTACTTTTCAAATAATTTCCACAAAAAATTCAACTTATTTTGAAATGTTATGGTGTCTTTCTAAAAGCTTCCAGAAAAGTGTCTTTTAACAGAAGTAGCACTCGTTTGTGCTGTGTATGGAAAGCATTTCTTCCATTCCTGTTATCTTTACAACAGCTTGAAGAACAAACAAGGAGAAGGATAAGTATACACATTATTTTTTTTAGGCGGAGCAATTAAATCTATTTCCATGCAGGTGCTGGGTACATAATTACATCACAGAATCGTGAGAGGTGGCGGCGGCTTGGGGAGGCCTTCATCCAGCGTTAGAATGACCGTAGCTGATATATATATTACAAATGGGTTCCTAGATTCTGGGACTGAATGGTTTTGAATTCTGCAGAGACAACATTAACACTCTCTCTTTTCTCCAAAGCTAGTATGCTTGCCAAAGGTACTTTGTTCAACTTGTCAAATGAGCGGCTGATCTCCATAAATGTCCTCTTTTTGGTTTCCGGCAGCACGAAGTAGAGAAATATCGCAGCTCCCAAACATACTGCTGCAAACACCAGGAAGCTGTATGCATCCAGAGCTTTCTAGTTTGGGAAAATGAGACGGACAAAATCAAGACGTTTCTTCAACACAAAGCATATTTACAATATCGTATATAACACGAACCCACATTGACCAGCATGGTGAAATATGGTCAAACAACTCCCGCGAAATTCACTGGCACGGAAAGGCCTTCAACGGTGGACTGATGATGATCTATCAAACATTATATTATTTAACACACGTGATAATTCGTGGTGCAATGGTTAACACACTGGCACTTATGAGGCCTGTGTTCAGTTCCAGGTGACATCTAACATCGGTGGTGAGTGATATTTTAACTGGTCCTGCACTGCACTTCCACCAAACCGCACTGACCAGCGTGGTGAGGTATGGTCCAACAACCCCCAAGACTGACACAGCATAAGACAACCACCATTCAGCAGTAGATTAACAAAGGCATGTATATAACCATTACTATTACACAACACACACATACATGCATACACAGAAAAACCACTGCAAACAAAGTACATACGCGGTGAACATGGAATGTTGGGCCAACATTGGGCCAACGTTGCATGTTTGCTGAGTACAAAGTACACAAACCTGCACACACATATCGACAAGGCATTTTTTTAAAATCCAATGCCATTTCTTCAAGTAATATTATAGGAAAGAACATTGAAAGGAACATTTGGTGAAGGAAAAAAACCTGCCATTGTGGAGAAAGAAGTGGAGTGGATGCATCTTTAATCCTACACGTGGGGAGTATGAATGTGGGGAGTATGAATGTGGGGAGTATGAACGGTGCTTCTTGAGGGAGGGATCAACCAGGCAGTTGCACCTGAGGCAACTTGGTATTCCTTGACTAAAGGACACTTGGCCTCACCAGTGGCTACAAGCACCACACCTGGGTACACTGCCCCGACTGGTGAACTTCACAGCACACCCACGAAAACCTACCCTAGTAGCCTTTAGGCCATCCAGGTCTCCCGACGCTAGTAGCCCTTCGGCTATCCGAGTTTCTTATGCCGGCTGGATTTACGCTGTGAGGCTGACAGAGTGAACCTGGACCAAATCAATATTTGTTGACTAAAATCTTGTCTCGCCCCATCTGAGAGGGGGTGAGCTATCGATGGATGGACTAAAGTCCTGTGGCGAAGGGCAAGGGGAAAAATCAGCAGGGTCTGATGATGAAATGTTATTGAAAGAAGTTCAACATACATACATGTCACCACACAGATTTCTGCTATAGAAAACAAAAATCTCCAATCCAGATCAGTTGCCACACTTTGTACTTTGTTAAACCAACACATCTTAATCACTACTCTCCCCTCGCAATATAGGAAACAAGAAGTGATCGACCAATGCTAACTCAATGCTAAGCTAATTAGCTCAATGGTCCATGGAGGCCATGGAAGAGCAGTTGTCACAAAGTCATAAAGGATCATTGTTGACATGCGGTACAGCCTGCCTCGAAAGAATCTACTTGTGAAGCTCAATTTTATCTGAAATGGAGTTTGACCTTGGTGCTCACCAGGACCACTGTATACACAAGATACTGCATCCCAATAAACTTCAAAATAAATCAACCATAAGTGCTACATTTTCACCATGTGATTTAAAAATACAGGAGATGGGGAGAGGAGGGGTGGTATTCGTGCTGCATTATTGTGCCAATACAATTCCTATTAGCAGTAGACAGTGCAACATGAAACTGCGATTATTTCAATTAAAAAAAGTTTTTTTTATTATGCACTTCTATTCCATTTAAATTAAATGCAAATGGAAACATAATGCCCTGATGCATCATGATTTAATTGGTGAATCACCTCTGCCCAGCGACTCACCCCACCGTGCAGTGTGCCTTCATCCATAGTCAGTCGAGGTAAAGGTTACAATGCTTGGCAATGCATCTTAATTTGCTCCCAATCATCCACTACGGGCTGACAGCTGGACAGTAAAAGTGCAGTCATCGCTGCGCAATGGTGATGCATTAAAATAAGCGTAGGGGCACTCACGCTTGGTTCCTGGTGTACATCTCAAAACCGCCGATGTCACAATCGCAAGCCTGACTTCCGCGCATTAGTCAAAGCAAACCACACACTGCCAAGCCCGGGACAGGTGGGGATCATTTAGTACATCCATGTATGAATTATTGATTCGACAGCAAAGATAAGTATCCAAATGGCCATCCCTGAACTGTTTTGCCAGTGCTTATGATGATGATGTTGTGACAAATCGTTTCGCAACAACAATTTTAGGGTACTACTACAGAGGCTACGCTGTATAACTCTCTCATGTACTTTTGGAATGTACCGTGTGTTGTTTTCACATGATGTCCGATATTTTGCTCCACATGCTGGGAGCTTTCTTCAGAAAATCCCAGCATGTGTAGTGAAGTATGGGACATCCTGAGAGCTTTAGTATTGGGATGATTTAAATCCCAGATTCATCATCTGTGAGTTACTTCATCTTGCAAATAAATCTGAAATCCTAGGTTTCCATCTGTTTAAAAGATGGAGATTCTACAACACTTGTGCCTCGTGATTTCTGACTTTGGCACCTTCCTGTGTTGTTGAGTTTGTATGTTCTCCCCCTGTTCTGCATATGTTTCCTCCAGATTCTCCAGTTTCCTCCCATAGCTTAAATAAACAATCTATTGGCCAAAAATCTCAATGCTGAAAAATTACCAGATAATTACTGAATTGGGATTTAACATAACAACATCGACCCCAACTGCAAACACTTGGCAGGATTCTCCTGAAAATGTTGAGCCTCAGTGAGGCCCTTTTGGGTAAACAAGCGTAACCATCATATGAATTGGAATTGAAGAACAGCCTTGTTTTTTTCACGGCGAAAAGCCCACACGCGATGCCAGTTTCACAGGCAAATTCAACTGGAAAAATAAAACTGTTCACATCCTGAAATGCAACAGAGCGTTAAAATGTTTACAGATTAACTTCCTCAATGAATCCAATCGGGTGACCTAAATAGAACATTTTACAAAGAGAATATAACAGATAAGCAGGAATGCAAAATCGATGATAGGTAAGTAAAATAATGTAACTGGAAGGCATTCATAAAGCCAAACTTTATAAGAGTGAGGAATGCACGTGGGCGTCAAACTAAAAGGTGTTAATGTATACATACAACCAAAATGTTATCCTGGGACACACAAAGAAGAAAAGAAGGACACAGACACGGAGAGGATTGAAATCCAGTCAGCCTGAGAGATACGGAATAGAAAACACTGCCTTAACCTCTTATTGGGCAAACATTCCACCCTCATTTCCCGCAATTGCATTCACTCCTGTCATTCAGGACATTCTGGAGCAGCAGAGACACGCTGCGTTTTAAAATTGATGGACTGCTCAGTCAACCTGTGTGCAGCCGGAAGATTTGAGAAGCGATGCATCAATGAAAGCGTCTTCATCACACTGCCATGTGAGATTAAATTTCTTCATTACTTTAAATGCCATTTGGCTGCACCAGTAATGTATGTTCAGCTTTAGATAACTGCTCACACGGTAATCTCATTACATTGTGAGGCATTCCAACGGGGAGTAACGGCAGTTGTTCGTCAAGGAAACGGTGAAATGACGGAACATTATATAATTATCAGCTTATCTCAGCCTGAAACACATTCATTTCAAATAAACATAAGATTATTTTAGGCGTTTTGTTCCACCATGATACATTAATCTGAGTCAATTGGAAATTTGAGTATAGACTCAATGATAGGTGGTGAAAAATTTTAATTTAGTTTTGGGTGATTTGTTTTTTATGGAAAAATAGAGACCAACCACAACCATAAATTAGCACGTTTGGCTTTGCACGGTGCGTACGAAGTTCAACATACATACATACAAAAACACACACATTCACTTTCAGTCAATGCCTGCTCAACTGAAGACACACATTTGGCACGCACACATTGTGAACAGGTATCTCAGTGACGTGCTTCTTACCTGGATAAATGGGAAGACGAGGCTAAGAATGAAGTTTGACAGCCAACTGACAATTCCAGCGACTGTGAATGCAGCTGGACGATAAGACTGCTCAAACAATTCCCCAGTCAAAACAAATGGAATTCCGCCTGCCCAAAACAACACAGTGCAAGTGTGTATTCAGCAGTAGATAGTGCAACATGAAACTGTGGCTATTTCAATCGTGTGAGTGTGTATTCAGCAAACGACACAAACTGGAAGGCAGACATCTAAAATCCTCTTATGTGCCACCCCTGTTGTATGCCCTTCATATTATATCCACCCCTTCCCTGATCGATCTGCAGAAACCCCTGTATATGAGCACATCAATTCTTCCTATTATCAGCGCTTAACCACGGATAAGAGGAATCACCCTAACCAACAATCACCCGAACCAATACTAACCCTAATCTAACGTCACACAAACACTACATCCCACTATGCCTCACCAACACACCGTTAAAACGACACAACAGTGGGTAAAACTATATCACTTTTTTATTCACATTAATTCAGAGATAAATCAAGGGAGTTATCGTTTAAAAAAGCACCAAAGTCATCCTCTTCGACACATTTCCATAGATTGCCACGTGGGTAATATGTGTAACATGCATGGATAACAGGATCTGCCAATAACACCCCCACATCACGCACAGATAAGAGGAGTTTCACTTTAATATAAAAACTAATTCTGGATAGAACAAATGGATGAATGCCTTTGACAGGGTAATCAGCTGGCACAACTCAAACCACGAGTTCTCTGGCAACCTACAAAAATCATCACCCCACCATCTTCAATATTAGCCATTTTATATCCACTGCTGGATAAAGGCCTCCTCACACCATTTCCATTCCCTCCATAGTTTATGCGACGCCACAACCTGGACTGGTGTCATCGCGGCATCTCCATGGCAGCTGTCCTCTCAGATGCACGCTTTCTCTTGGCTACCATTACGCCACTAATATTCTCCATTGGGTGTCATTGCTTCCAGTGATGTGTTCAGCCCAAGCCCATTTATGTTCCTTTGCAGTGAATGTGATGTCGCTGATTTGTGATTGTTCCCTGATGCATGTTCTCCTCTTTCCGTCTCTCAGTGAAACTTCGCATTTACACCTTAGTTTCCTTTTTGATCCGTTGAAATATTTTGTTCCTAATATTGTATGGCATACTGCTATCACGTATCACATATGACATAAACGTCCTGGCAGTATATTACAGACCTGTAAATGTGCATGCAGCTACATTCACGGCTTCACTTTATTGCATCAGAGAACTCAGAGATTTCATATGATAGTAAAACTATTCTTATCCGAGTCTCAATTAATCTGTGATTGTCATTCATATGACCAGCACACCCTCGGTGATCTGTGAACATTGTTATTACCTGTGCAATATAATAATCCTATTATATTTATCCATGCATTTGCATGGATAAGAGGAAGAGATCTGCAAGTCATTTCAACATCATCCTATTCTCGGAGCTTGTGCACGGATAACAGGAAGGTACCCATAAGTGATCTCCCAGAAGTGCTGCTTTAGTCTCATTATTATCAGATCATTTGTGTGGATAAGAGAAGTGATCCAGAGGTGGAAGCAAATTCATCCTATTGTCTGCAACCTTGTTTCTTTGATCTAAAAATTGGAATGCATATATAAACATGGATAACAGGATCCACCCATGGCACCATCCATTCCAAATCAGATCAAGGGGGAGCATAAGAAATGTAATGATGCTTGTTAGGGTCACTCCAGTGCACGTGGTCTAAACAAGTGAAACATTAACATCTAATTTCACTTGACAGGGTGCAATGAGGATGATAGAGTCAATCCAGCTATTCATGATTACATGAATCAAAACAACCTTGTACGTGAAACTGGGTTCAATTACACGGATACAGCATTATGATGAGATACACTGACATATAAATAATTTTCTAATTTAGGCTCTAATAATTGCATATTGTGAAAGTGCATTGAGAAGATAGGATACTGCCATATAGCTGTATTTTGTCCTCTGGATAATGCTGCAAAAATCTTGTAAATGGGCACAATGACTACATATTGAGGAGAGCCAGAGATAGCCCAATCCAGGGGGGGAGGGTTCCAAAAAGCAGCGCTCAGTTTTAACTCAGGCCTCGAGTAAGAAAATATGGTTTTCCTTGCAAATAGCATTCCGAGCAATGATTGGGAGAACCTGAATCACCAAATACGGGAACAAGTTTGCACTCATGCATCATAGCCAAATAGGGCGATTTTATCAGAATCGTGTAAAAATTAAGCGTCAAGTATTTTTGTGTCAGATGGAGTTTGCAAGCGGAGCTATGAACTCTGTGACCTGATTTTATTCCAGGCCATGGCTGACATGGCCGGCGAGTGAAAACATAAACAGGTCCTGGGCCTCCCTTCACCAACCCGCACTGATCACCCTGGTGAAGCGCATTTCCCACGACAAAATTGGTTAGGGGGCCTTTATCCAGCAGTAAATTGACTAGGGTCTGTATATTATTATGTTCTTCTAGATTTGAAGCTTTCGTGACTGCAAGGATTCATATTCTTAGGTTTTTTCGGTAAAGTCACGTAGGTAAAACATCAAAATTAATAAAAATAAAATAAAACAAAACAATATTATGTACTTTTTGCACAAAAGTTAAATCTAACCTTACCGGGTCCAATACAGAAGCTGGCGATGACTGCCAAGACACAGGCAATGCTAAGGCTTGACATCCAATGGTACGTGTCCTGTCAAGGAATAACACATCTCTTAAGAGTCACAATTCACCGTATTTAATTATTGCAATGCATTCAGCTTATTAGAAAAGCAGTTATAAACAAGCTGTAACCAATAAATACATGCAAGATTAATTTAAAAGACATAATTTATGTATGCGTACCTGAAGATTAAGTGCCACTGTCAAGACTCCAAATATCACAGCCATCGCTCCAAATCCAACAATCAACAGTGATCGTCTTCCAAGCTTTTCAATCGCAAGACCCTATAAATTACAAAGAATAACTTGACAAACCGCGACACAAGCAAAATTACTCTCATTGGTAATGCAGAGGAGCTGCTGTGGTTTATGGACTACCGGCCCACCAATTAGGGAATGCAAATTCTGAATGAGAGTGCACGATAATATATTAGATCACGTTAAAGACCACGCTTTGTGTTTTAAATATTGAATCTGTAGAGTTCAGTGGTGACTGCTATGCACTGCTTACAGAGAGAAGGGCAGCCAAGACTTCTGTTCCACCAGTGGATATGATTATATAAGGAGTAATAGCTTCAGTCAATGCCAGCTTGTCTAAATATGCTGCTTGCATAAAACCAGATCTGCAAAGACACACAAAATGAGATATATGGCAAAACTCGCACATTCACTGTGGCACCAATCATTTACGTGACCATGCAGTGGAATCTCGGCTGAATTTGCACATTTTAAGCAGTGTACTGGCAAGCAACCAAATGCGATTTCTGCATTTTTTTGACAGAGAAAAATGAAACTTTACCTTAAAATATGAACAGACTCAAGCATTATTTATATACACACAGTAGAAACACATTTAACTTTTTTTTCACTGAAGGACAGTCACCATAAAGCAGCACGAATAATCCTCTACTCATTTCCGTGCTAAAACTGCGTTAAGGCCCAGGAACCTGACCATGCACCCTCATGCCCGAAGCTGTTAAGAGGCGGATGCCAAACTCACAGCGTTCACACCACACAGCTGATAGCAGGCCATGGTGACGGCGACCGTGATGACCTGCCAGCGCACGGCACGCTCACGGAGGAGGCCCCACAGCGACACCACGCTGACGTGTGCCTGTGCAATGCCCTCTGCCTGTATTTCCACCATCTCACGCTGCACGTCCTGTCGCCCGAGCAGCCTCTGCAGGGCTAGGGGAAAGTGCACACCGAGCCAATGTAACCACTCAACATATCAGGGTTCGACATCCTCTCTCGCCTCTGCTGCCATCACAGAAATAACATGATGGCCTACACCTTGTTGTACTACACACACATTCATTTCTTGCTGAATATTTTCTGCGTCACTGGTAGACTGCAGGAGACATGTGATTACTAGTCACAGCCAAAGCTGCAAGTAAACTGGATGTGGTGCGTTGGATGCGGGAATACTTCGCCGCGGTGGTGAGATGGCAACTCCCTCGCCTGGTATGCAGGTGGTCGTGGGTTTGATCCAGACCCTGATGCCTGTATATTTCGAGTTTGCATGTTCTTCCCATGGTCACGTGGATTTTTCTCCCGGTCCTCTGGTTTTTCCCTGCTATAAATGTCCACATGATAAGCTACTTGGTTGAGCTATCATTTGTGGCCGGGTCGCTTTTCAAAAAGAGCTATATAGCTCAGTTGGCCTTACCCGGTAAAAAAAAAAAAATTGCTTCATCGTAAAAGTAATTTCCAGGTTACCAAAAAATTCAGCTGATATTAAGCCCTACTTCTACATCGCCATGCGTCTGATTTGCTGTCACAGAAAGAACCTGATGTTTTGCGATGTAACCGTGTTATGTTAACTGTTTAATGTCCGATACGTTTTCGCCATTCAATTTTGAGATCCCACGACATTAAGTCGTTTTCACAGGACAAATTACTTGCTTCAGGATATATTACATTACTCTCTATACCAAGGAATTTTCTGTGCCGTTCAATGGGTTCCAAGAAGGTGCGGGAAAAGAAAAAGCTACAATGTCATTTAATCTTGTTTCATTGGTCTTGTGGAACATAAACACGGTTATGTAGGACAATTCAACAAAGACATACAAGGTGTCCACGAAAGATTCATACATTCTTAAAGAATGGTAATTCAACATCTATTTGAGCTAGGTCAATACAACTGTACAAGGACACTCACACTTGGCAGTGTGAAGATTTGATCAAACATGAGTCTCATTCCTCTAAACGTGGTGCCATGCCATTGCTAACAATATACTGTTTGCGAATATCTCGAGTGCAATTGTTTTGAATGCTTCTGTTCTGAGTGAAGATCACTCAAGATTAAAAAAAAAATTGCAAACACTATTTACTACAGCCCAAACATTCAACTATGTATTTAAAATGTCTTTCTGATTATAATTGTTTGATAACAGATGGACGTTTATAGATAAGATACTGCCATTGTGTAATGGTTCGCACACTGGGCTTGCAATCCAGAGGTCGTTGGTTCAAACTCGCGGCATGACAGTTGAATCAATTGGAAAGTTTATTTAACTACCCCCACACCTCAGTTCACTCAGCAGTAATACAATTGGTCGATTTGTCGGTTGCGTGTGGTGGGATAACGTTTGGGTACTTCCACCTCTACCAAGACAAGTGGCCAGTGTGAAAGAGTAGGCCAAAAACCCTTTAGTGGAACTCTCCAGATCTCCCTCTAGTGGAGGCCCTTCCACCAGCAGCAGTTTGAGCAAGACATTTCAGGGGTGTACCTTTATTTGATACCTTTAGAGATACCCTGAAATGTATTTGAACGAATGGCACCTTTCTCTGCTGCTTTGACATCTTGCCTTTCGAGAAGAAGGTAGCGTGGACTCTCTGGCATGAAGGGCAAGGTGGCAAGCTGCACGAGGGGTGGCACTACCAAGATGGCAAACAAGATGCTCCAATGTGATTCCTGCCACCATGATGAAGAGGCAGAAGGTGCCAGGGAAAGAAAGCGCAATGGTTAACAAGCACATTCCAAGCCCAAGGTCACACAGCTTAACTGTCACTCACAGGAACAGTAAAATAACCTTATTTATTGCTAAGCATTCTACACTTCATATCTTCAATTATGAAAAGCCACGTTAATTTCATATTTTTTTTCTTTTGTAAGAACTGCCATATATGAACAGGATCATATGAATAAAATTTAATTGTGTGAATTGTACATAACAGAACTAAAACTGAACAGAAATATTAAAACACATAAGAAGCACATGTTAGAGCACATTGTTGAATACCACAAAAGCTGACATTTTAAAATTAAATCAAGAGAAAGTTATCCTGCTCTTAGTCGTCTATTATTGCCAAACACAAAACGTCACGGAGGAATACAAACTACACGTGTATGATTGTGATTTAAACGCACCTTGCCCAGCACCTCTTTCAAATTGAACACCTGCCCGGTGAAGACTCCTAGACAGATGAAGATGGCAGAAACCTGGCCCATGGATCCGCGTAGATTCTTTGGGGAGATCTCCGCAAGATACATGGGCAAGACGCTCAGGGAGATGCCTGCGTGGAAAGGGAAATCCGATATTGAATGTCCATCATTCTTCTGAGGATGACATTTTTCTGTATTACATTTTGTTAAAACCAAGGCATAATTTCAACAAAAGCTGTCCAGGGCTGAGTTCCAGAAAATATTTCCCTGATGAAGGGTGGGGTGGCAGGGGCAGGTGAGGGTTGGGGCCCCGAGAAAATATTTAATGAGAACATAAGCCCTGACAACACAACACAGTAGGACTGTTTAATGAGTAGGCATGCCATGATGCATCAATTCCTTAAAATGTATATTTATGCTCACAAATAAATACTATGGAAATATAATGTTTAGTATTCTTCAAAAGAGTTTGCAAATTATATTTTAAAAGTTACAGTCATGCTAATGTATGAACAAAACTGCACTAAGATGGAAAATACTCGAAACAATACAAACGAGATGGAAACGAGCCAAAACAAAATAAATTCGTAAATTGAATTACGATCCTGAATGGAGACAATCCATCTAACTGCTGACGTGGTGAATTGTCATATGAACCTTATGGCGGGACCCCGGGGTCCCATAAGCCCCCAGCTCTCACATAAACTGCATTGCGACGTCATTTTATGTCTGTTGAAGGTGAATGATACGGCAATCTATTCTTCTCGACGAGCTCTACACGATGTGATAATCGAAGTTCAAAAGTTGTGTTTATGACTACGGCAATTTTGGCAACGACAGGTGCTTGGTGAAGAACAGAATGATCCGTGCCAGGTGGGTTGCGGCGTTTATGTGCGCGGTGGGATGGAGTCACCAAAAATAATTTTATTACGATTTTGACTTCTGTTTATTCAGGAGCCCGGGGTCCCACCATAAGGTTCATATCTCTATTATGCAATATCGAATATATACAAATACAACAGTTAAAGTCTATCCTAACATGAGCTACGATTTTGTGGAAGCTGTACAGGAGTAATGGGAATTTAAATGCAATTGTTATGCGACTGCTAGTATTTAATAAACATAGGTATTCAAACTTCAAAGTAGAGTAAAAAGCTAAAATCAACATTCACCATGGCTCAATTCTTGATAATAGTATGGAATTAAATGTATTGTCACTTAAAATAGTACGGCACATCCAGCTTTCAAGTCAGTCGTTACAAGACTTGTCAAACGCGGTCAAATTAGCAGTTTCGAAAAGTAAAAATAAGTTATTTTAGAAAGTCAAAGTTACTTTGTAAGCCAAAACTGAAGCACACAAACAGCACACTAAAAAGCTTGAGCAATGGAAATATAACCTCTCATCTAACAATAGGCAAAGGCAGCGGTTTTTTGAGGTTCTGAGGTTCATCTCAGGACTTAAGTTTGAGGTTCATCTCCTATCTTTCAACCTTTTGTACAACTATAGGGCAGTAAACGTCTTTAGTCTTTAAAAAAAAAACCTCTTCAGTACTGCACTTTATTAGACTGTCATATACTCAAACAGCATTAAGTGCAGGTGAACTGTAATATTACAGAACTTAAGAAATGTATAATTTAATTAGGCTTCTTGGTTCTTTCGGTAAAGTCACGTAGAAGGGAAGTAATAAAATAATAAAAATAAAACATAATAAAATAAAATAATTCTCACGACACTATGAGATCTCTTTTACCAGTGGCAAAATATAATAGTAGGTTTTTACCCTTTTAACTGGTACAAAACTGACAGTTTTGTACCAGTTAAAAGGGTAAAAACCTACTATTAAATTCTCACGACGTTTCGGCTACAACGCAAGCAGCCGTCTTCAGGTGAAGAATGAGACACTACCAAACTAGGAGCTTATATAAGCTCCTAGTTTGGTAGTGTGTTTTATTTTTATTATTTTATTACTTCCCTTCTACGTGACTTTACCGAAAGAACCAAGAAGATGAATCCCTGCAGTCACGAAAGCTTTAAATCGAAATTTCATTAGGCTTGTTTACCCAGAAACGCCGTGATGAGTCTCAAGACGTTCTCCGGAGGATCCTGCTAAGTTTTCGCACTGAAGTTGCGATGTGTAATCCAAATTTAGAAATTTGCAGATTATTTTTTTTTGCACTGGGATGTTTGGCTCCAATACAAGCTACATATTCACAATACAACATAACTGTAGAACCATTTATCAGTTTAATAAATTGCAGCAGCAAGAGAAAATATTATCCCCCCAAAACAGCAGTGCAGCTCTGCTTCAAAAAATGTCTCACAGTCCAGTAAATTGAAAGAAAAAGCACTGCATAAATTGGCTAAAAAAATAATCATTGGGAGCAACAAACCTCATTGCTTATTTTTTAAATAGCTCCAGCTTTATAATCACTACAATGCAAACACGACTACAAAAACGAAGCATTTTAAATATTGGTATTTTTAACATGCACACAGGAGAAAAAAATATCTATCTGGCTTTGTAGGTCAAGTGAGCCACAGCTAACATGCGCGGATGCTGCATAACATAGTGGTTTCAAACACAGTGAATGTGTGAATACCTTTTTTGATGACCATGGTTCACTTGTGGGAAGTCGAGCAAAGTGTCAACGGGTAATTGATAAAAATATAATTTGTTACAATCGATAACAAGGAAAGAATGCAACTACAATTACAAGCTGCCAGATAAAGTTGGGGGTACAGCCTCTCATTGAGCAATACCCGACCACAGTGCAAACATAATTCAAGCCAATGGAAACACTGCAGTATAATTATAAATTATCTTTCTCCCTTCAAAAAGACACTATTATCGAATTGGAGGTTCAATCCTTATCCCATACGCTTGTGTCAGGCTTTGTCGTCAATCATTGCTGTAATTAAAAAACAAATAAAGGGTCACAAGGATGGTAACATTCGTATGAGGAGGGAATCACACCTGCATCAATGCCCACCACGAAGCGGCCCAGAAAGAACATCTCCCAGGAGCCCGCGAGCAAACACAGCGACATCAGCAAGGCTGCCAGGATGGCCAGGGCATTGTTGAGGAGTAGCGTGCCTTTCCTGGAGATGACAGAAGCAGATGGGGCTAACGCTAAAAGGTCATCTGTTAATTATTGTCATTCTTGATTTGAAGCTTTCGTGACTGCAGGAATCCATACTCTTTGGTTCTTTTGGTAAAGTCACGTAGGTAGAAATAAAATAAATCACGACGTTTTGAACGCAACACAAGCGCTCGTCCTCAGGTGAAAATCGCGATAGCTGCGATGTCTGCTGCGAGCAGCACGATGTCTGCTGACTTCACAATCGCGATTTTCACTTGAGGACGAGCGCTTGTGTTGCATTCGAAACGTCGTGATTTTTTATTTAAATTCTACCTACGTGAATTTTACCAAAAGAACCAAAGAGTAATTATTGTCGTCTTAAACTAAACTATTTGTTTTACCAGGTAAGGCCCACTGAGCTATATAGCTCTTTTTCAGAAGTGACCTGGCCACAAATGATAGCTCAACGAAGTGGCTTATCGTCATGTGGAAATTTATAGCAGACATACTCATAAACCCACGTTTTTAAATGTGGAGGGAAAATCCAGAATACCTGGAAAAAACTCTACGTGACTAAGGGGAAAACGTGCAAACTCCAAATATACAGGCATCAGGGTTTGAATGAAGCCCACGACCTCCTCCATACCAGGGGAGGGAGTTAACATGTCGCAACCGCGGCGCCCATTCCTACATCTGTGATCTTCACTCTTTTTTGGTAAAACCCACCCCCCCTCTACCTCACTACAGCCCCCACGCAGATCATACACAAAATAATTACATCCAATATGAGTGTAAAACATATATATACATGGGTGCGATGTTTGTTGGGGTTTATGCGTTTCAGAAATTCATACAAGACTACATTTTTTTCCACAAAAATCCGTTTCCCAAGGAATTTTTTTTCACGTGGAAAATGTATGACCTCTGAGATTATATGCCACAAATAATTACAAGCAGATATTGCAGTCTGATTTAATTAGGCTTGGCACCATTAACATCTTCAACTTGTTTACTGCATGATAATATTAAAACCAAGTACACATTTCTCCATGCTTGGAATTACATTGACTAAAAGAGGGAGTCATGGATTGACAAACATAGATGGGTTAATTACATAATTGAAACCGCTTAAGAAAAGTAAGTGGGCTTCAGAAGGTCATTACGCGAGAGGAGATGACGGCAGATGGTCAAGAATAATGAGCGAGTTGCGGCCAAGGAACAGAATGCATCCAAGAGGATGTCCACCAAATAGATGAAACGATTAAATCAGTTCATGTGTGAGTGCGAGGTGCATTGTTATATCTCAGGATCATGGGAGGTGGCATTAAGACCATAATGATTGAGTATAAATGGAAAAAACAGCCACAGTAACCATGTGCAAGAATTTACACTATGAGACCTCCTTTACCAGTGGAAAAATATAGTAATAGGCTTTAACCCTTTCAACTGGTACAAAAACTGACACCTTTATACAAGGCATCATGTTTGCAATAACCACAACACAAGCAGTCAAAATGCAAACAATAAGAAACAACTTTGATGATAATGATATGCACTGTCCTTGAAGTTGATTGGTCCACACCCGAGACAATACTCTGATAGTACACTGTTTTTTGAGTTGTACGCCTTTTGGCAGTCATCTGGTCCAACACCAATGGAGACTAGGCTCTAAGAAAAGCTGTCTCGGGTGTGGACCAATCAACTTCAAGGACAGTGCATATCATTATCATCATCAGAGTTTTTTTTATTTTTGTTTGCATTTTGACTGCTTGTGTTGTGGTTATTGCAAACATGATGCCTTGTATAAAGGTGTCAGTTTTTGTACCAGTTGAAAGGGTAAAAACCTATTACCATGTGCAAGAAACCCAAATACAGCGGTTGAAATTTTTTAATGTTTTCAAAGCTAAATACTCACCTTCAAATTTAATTTATAGTAGCTGAAACAGCAACAGATACAAATGTGTACAATTTAGTATTTACATGTTAGTGGAAACCGTTTTTGGAAAATGTATTGTTAAAAATACAGATTAACATTTCACTTTTTACAACAATATCAACCAAACAACTCACAGCCTCTGTCAATTCACTGTTGGATGGTGGCCTCTCCATAACCAACAGAAAAATAGAAACACTTTTATCATAAAACCATATAAAGATTAGGCTTCAAAGCAAGCATACTATTAGTATGTAATTAACAATTGTTTATATTGTCTTAATTTTGACAATGCTTAAGCAAAAGCCTATTCAAACCTAAGTGTGGTTTTGCATATCTAATGTGTAATATTAAAAACACTACATGGACTAACTGCATCGCCTTTTTTATTTCACCATAAAACTTTTTTTTATTGTACAGATGAATATTTAAGTGGAATACCTTACACCGGAGGGTCTAAATGTACCTGCCAAAGCGCTGGACCATGAACCTCATGATCAGGGCTCCTACAAGGCCCCCAATAGACATGATGGCGATGGTGAAAGACCACAGCAGCGTTACCGAGTTGTCTGTCAGTGATGTGCTCCACCGATCCAGCCATGTTGTGTTGAAGAAATCCTTGATGTACTGGTCAGCGAGAAAATAAGAGTTTAATGTGTTAAGTAATCAAATAAACAAGCAGACGATAATGCCTCCTCATATCTGTCCCTCCACATAAATAACAGCATTTTGTACATAGCCATACGATTTTCTGGGAGTGTATCATTTTCAGCAGCATTGGTACAACACAAGCAACCTCTGGACCGGTACATTCACTATCTCGTCAGCAGAATTAGGCTGCTTTAACAAGTGCTGGTGAACTTCTAAATGTATAACCTAACGTCGGTTTTTCGCAGCCAATATTCTCATGTATAATAATAGATTGTGTATCTTAATACGTTTATAAGGGTACTGCCAAATAATTTTTGTTACTTTATTTTGTTTCCTATATTCTCTGAAATAATACTGAGGATTATGTGATATATTTGTTATAAGGGCGGTATAAACACAGCTGCAGAGCAGCAATTGCCGCCACTTGGCCGTACTCTGCCAAGTGCCTGGAGATCGTGAGTTCGACGCCCGGCTATGGCTAACGTCAGTGGCGAGAGATTAATCAAGCACGGGTGCTGGCATCCCCTTGCCAACCCACACTGACCAGCTTGAAGTATGGTCAAACAAGCTCAACGACCAACACAGCAGTGGAGAGAGGCCTCATTCAAGTTTCAAGTTTTTCAAGTTTCATTTATTAGGTATAGAATCGGGTGCAACCGCAAAAAACAAAAAAACAAAAACATGAACAATGAAAACATCTTAAAGTGACTATGTGCAAACAGAAAATCCAAGAAAAGACAGCAAAATATTGCAGAAAAAGCACCGTACACCAACACTGTGTGCAAAAATCCCAGTGGGATGCAAGTCAAATAACAACAACCACAAGACAACTTAGATTAAGGCCATCAGTCTAACTCTGTACTACAACAAACAAACATGGCCAAAATGGATCGACAAAATGTTGTAAAAAGAAAACACACTTAGACGTCAACAAAATGTCGTGAACATATACATCATCATCGTCATCTGTCAAATCGAATTTGAATGGTAAATTGAAGCATATCTAAAGTACATTATGTCAGGTATGACTTTTTAATGTTTCAATATGACATACAGTTATTATGAACGACATATCCCATGTGACTAATATTATATATTTTAAATAATAACTTTCAGCCATTTGTCAATTGGATGAAAGCCTGCCCATGGCGTGTTAGTTATATGATGTTTTTACCATACAGCACCAAGCTGGTGAGTGTTGGTGACAGGACTGGTTCAGATATCACTCACTACTGTTGTTAACCGTATCTGTAAATCGAACTCAAGTCACTGGTTTCATCATGCAGAGCACTAACCTTACACTAATATTACAGAGGTGGGGGTTTTTTTTCTCTGAATTTATCAGATGATAATAAACTATCAGTACAGTATACTTACTGAATAGGACAATGGGACACTGTCTACAGGAAAGCCACCCATACGGATGCCTACCTAAAACCTGACTCCCACCACCATCCATCCCTGATGAATCCCCTCATCAAAACTATACACCATAGAGCTCGATGTATTTCTGACCGTCATCACCTAGCCAGTAAACTGGAACACGTACACCAAGCTCTTAAGATGAATGGATATTCAGAACACACAATCCGTAAAGCTATCACCCCAACCATTGGGAAAGAACCATCTGAGGACTCAATCAAAACCATCTCCTTGCCATACATAGCAGGGGTCACTAAAAATATTTCCAAAATCATGAGCAAACACAAAATCCAGGTTCGATTTAACACAGTACATAAAATAATTCGTGATTGATCCCATCTGTGAAGGATGTGAATCCCTGACATGCAATACCCCGGTGTCTACAAACTAAGCTGTGTCTGCGGCAGTAGTTAGTTACATTGGGGAAACTAAGCAACATGTCTCGGAACCTGTTCGTGAACATAAGGCAAATCTGAAACACGGTAGGACCAACACCTCTGCCGTGGCTGATCATTGTTTTAAATGCGGTGGGCTCACACGAAATTGATTTCTCTAAGACGAAGGTACTTTGCAAGCCCACTGACTATCAACAAAGATTCGTTCATGAAGCCATCCATATATATAGACACGGACACAATTTCAACCGAGAAGATGGGTACGAACTGAGAAATAATTGGAAGGACGTTATTAACCAGCTTTAAGTCATAACTGGCTGCGATGTTTCCATCCTACCTTCCGATGTTAGTAGTTATTTTCGACTCTCTGGTTTTACATTAACAGGTTAAATGTCTTTACATTAACAGGTTAAATGTCTCACTAACACAGCCACCGTTGCTCGTTTTCTTCGATGTGGCGGCGGCTCTGCGATCTTACATTGACATGCAAATTTCTCACTTTAACATTACTAGCCCCGCCCACTTCGCTTATGACGCTTGGGCTACACCTATTTCAAACCTTTAAAACATCCTGCCTCAGCAGCTTTCCCGCTATTTTTTCTCTCCTGATGACGATTGCTTGTGTTGCGATCGAAACGTTGTAGCTTTTTGTTATTTTCTTTGAAGCTATCTACGTGACTTTACCGAAAGACCCAAGAATATGCATAGGACAGTTAGCACAGTTAGTTGTTGTTGTTGTTTTCCTCGCACTTTCTGTTTATAGGTGGCGTTGTGTCGCCACTTTGCAAGGGTTGAGCCAGAGATCAATCGATTTAATTTTTGGTCCGCGTTTTGGGCAACTGAGAAAGTGGGAGACGTCTTCTGGCGTTAGCACAGTTAGTCAATATGCAGGTCGTGTGTGGCAGGGTAAAATGTGGGAACTCCCACCTGTTCTAAGGCATCTCGGTCAGCATAGAAGAGTAGGCCAAATACTCTCTAGACCTCCATTTAGTCGAGGTATATCCACCAGCAGTGATTTCAGAAAGCAATTGCCGGGCCACACCTTCAGAGTTTTTACCTCGCAGACATTTAGTGCAGCAAACCCATTTAGAATGAGGTCATTACAATTTGAACTTCCTTAATCTCATTCAAAAGCAAATAACAATTACATTTCCAATCTCTCCATTAAATATGCCAAAAATGCTCCGTTAATATTGATGCATTTTTGCAAACATTGCTACGCAAGATGCAATTGAAGACATTACCTAACATTTCCCATGGAACAACCTGATAAATCTACTCCTATTCAAGTGAGCACACCTTTAAAAAATACTGCATTAACTTGTGTAAACCGCTTATTTTGAGCAACACACACAATGCGTGATGACTCTTATTGCAGAAGAAAGCTTATTAATACCAGAGTTTACCACTATAATTCTCCAATTTATATGTAAATAACATCAAATAGAGGCTATAGCAGATGACTGCTCTTTTTCCGCTGTAAGAATGGTGGAGGCAATAATGATGAATGTCATTGCCAAAACACTTTCAATGAACCTTCAGCTACAATTATGGTTGGGGTAAATTGTTCCCTCATTGGCAGGACTTGTGTCCAAACTATATGACCATTCATCATTGAACAGTCAAAGCCATCTGGCATGACATTATACGACTTGATAGGAAAAGATAACTTTGGCATTTAGAGAATATACTGAATGTTCTCACGATTCACCTGAATTTGTTTAATGTCATGTTCAAAATTGATGTTGTACGCTCCATACACGACAACATTCGGGACAGAAATAATATTGGGTTTAGACTGCCACATAGACCAAATCAAAGTAGTCATGTTCTTCAATCCAAAGAGTGCACAACATAAGGTTTATTTTGTCCATTGACATTTCTCGGGGTCATTAAATTAAATTAAACAAGTTATCAAATTTTAAATCAATTAGAAAGAGAGAGCCCAGCCAAAAGCAATTGAATGTCATTTTGAAAAGTTCCATCAATCCATTTCAGGTTTTAGATTTGAAGCTTTCGTGACTGCAATGATTCATACTAGGTTTTTTCGGTAAAGTCACGTAGATAAAAAATAAAATTAAAATTAATAAAAGTAATAATATAAATAAAATAAAATAATAAATCACGACGTTTTGGAGGCAACACAAGCTTCCGTCTTCAGGTGGAACAGTCACAGCACGATTGCTGTATCAAGTAAAGAGAAATCCCAAGAGACCCGACCTTGTATATATACTGACTAGCTGTACTACCCGGCTTCGCCCGGGACTTGTATCCACCACGGCCGGCCGCCTTTGTCTCCCCAGTGGCGATGTTAATACGCTACAGCAGTTACTCGTTTGAGGCAGAGTCGACCTAGGGGAGGTTCAAATAATCGTCACCGGTGGTGGTCGTGAGCGTGAATGGAACTGGGTTCGCCGGGTTGGTAGCGCAGCGTAGCGTTAAGCACTACACCCACCGCTCCTCACACACCACACACGCACAGACACACACACAGACACACACGCAGACACACGCAGACACACACAGACACACACAGACAGAGACACACACACACACAGACAGCACGCTAACCACTACACTACCGCTCCCCACACACCACACACGCACACACACAGACACACACACAGACACACACACACAGACACAGGCAGCACGCTAAGCACTACACTACCGTTCCCCCTACACAACACACGCGCGCGCGTCCATAGGTACACATACACGCGCTTGCTGCAGACACACACGACTTTCAGGGTGCGTACGGCAGTAAACGACTGAAATAATAAAGCGGCAATGCTGCGCAAGGAACTCCTTAGACCTGCAACACATTTGTGTAATGCGAGCGTAAACACACAAACACATACAAACACATACACAATACACACACACATACATGCAGAAACACAGACAGACACATAACACACATACATACACACACATACATACACAGAAACACATACACACACATACATAGACACACACATACATACACACAAACACATGCACACACGTACATACATACAAACACGCAGACATACACATAAAGACATAGAAAAAAACCCACATACATGCACACACACACAAACACATACACACACATACATACACACATACATACAGACACACAGACATACACATAAACACATACACACATATGTATGA